CTTTTGTGTTGCCTGCATGATGGTGCTGGGGTATTAAAAAAGACACATGACGCATTATTGTCAGACATTCAAAATTATAAGGAGATTATTTACTTATTATGTGACCATACCTGAATGCTCCCGTCATACATCTGAAGCTAAGAAGGGCATGGTCTGGTTTGTATTGTGATGGGAGACCTCTGGGAACACCATGTGCCATAGTGAGGCGGCTGTAAAGTGTCAATTTGTTGTTGTGTGTTTAAGCAGGTCACTTCACGCACTTTGCCTTGAATGAGTCTGGTGTGTGTCTGTGAAGGGATGGTTGTGATCGTAGGGGCCAATGGAAAATACTGGTTGCCTCGCTTCTGTCAGTGTGATCCAGGGCAGATGTGGCTACAGTAGTAGTTTATCACCACTGTGTACGGCGTGAAAGAATAATGACATGTGAACGAAACTCTGTATGTGAAGCATCTTTAAGTGTCCAAAAAAGCGTTAGTGTGATGTCATAGTGGTACAATGACATCATCCTATAACAGGACTGAGACAGGAGCTTATAGACAGAAGGGGCGGGGTAACATGTACATTATTGTGGATGGATCTGAAATGAACTGGTGTGTGAATGATTTTGCAAACATGTCTGCTTTTGTGAGTGAGTGTATGCAATTTTAAAGTGTGATATTCTGATTCATTCTAACTTCAATTGGTGAAACAAAATGTGTTGTAAATGTGGCAAACCGGGTGGAAGAAACAATTAGTGGACCAACATTATGCTCATCTAAATATCATTGACCGACCAGCATTTGTTCCATGCTCATGTTTTTTAGTTTAACCGTTCATCCACAACACGTAACAAGTATATAATTTTCCTTGTTTGTAATTGGAGTGTAGCTTGACATTTCTTGTTTATAGATGAAAATAAAATACAAAAAGGCAAAACGCACATTGAGGCTGTCTCCATTCGCATATCCTGGAAATAAACAAATATATAAACCAAACAACGTATTTCAATAAACAGGGACAATAAATATTCATCTTAAAGGGAGAGATGCATTTTACCTGTTAATAGTGCAACTGATCATTTCCACCTGGCACCTGGGCAGGACATATTCTAGTAAAAGCCAAATAAAAAGGTTGTGAACAAAAAATATGTTAGATGTATGCATTCACTCTAATCGGCATTAAATAATCTACTGTACAGGCCACGTCCACGCAGAAAGAAGACATCCATTAAAATTGACCTTCTGTCAGATTTTACCAACAGTCGGTCAGGAAATGTTGGCGTCCACACAAAGCTGAAGCCATGAGGCCTGTGACCCGGCATTATGACCCTGCAACAGAAAAAACACCAAATCAGACAAAGAAATGTGCCATACACATATAGTCCTATACACATAGAACTATAAAACTAAATAAAACAAACAAACAGGCGAACAACAAGCTCCAGTGATCCAAGATGGCGGCCTGTTCAAGTGCTCAAGGCGTATGGGACAACCATGGGCCACTGAGTGTGTGGCTCTCATGCACATGCACAGAGGGGCTTGGCCGCATTTTGACCAATCAGTGGCTGCTGATCAGAGCGGAGCTAGAGCGGAGCTAGAGCGGAGCTAGAGCGGAGCTAGCACATCCCCAAAATTCCCCGTCAGCGGACGTAAAGTTATGACAAATTTAATACAGTATTTGTCTATTTCACAACCTCAATTAATTTTTCATTTTCTTCATTCTGAAAGTTCTGCATTGAGTCCTGCATATATTAATGTACATTTAACACAAGATGAAATGTAAACCCCCACCTGCAGCACGTTGGCGCAGTGGTTAGCGCTTGTGACTCACAGCAAGAGGGTCCTGACTTTCGTATCCCCCTCAGGGCCATTCTGTGTGGAGTTTGCATATTGGTTTTCCCTACCACTAAAAATACGTTCAATAGGTCTGGAACGCGCCTCCTTTACAACGACCCACTCCCAACACTATGTGGAGCGAGAGACAAATGCCCACAACAAAGCACTTTGTGACTCTGGTCTGTGAAAGGCACTATAGAAATAAAGATTACTTACTTATTCACTTATACTTACTTACACCTACCACATCCGGTGGAAGAAATTAAGGCAACAGGCAAATGCAGGACTACACTTTGCATTATTGTGCAGTGGTTGCTCAAGAAAATGATCCAGGGGAAAACAAATGTTCTCATGCATTTTGACAGGCGTTTTCTCTAAAATATCAAAATCTATAAAGCGTAGAACTTGCAGATGAAGCAATAACATTTCCATAGAAACACTTTGCATATATAGTAACAAGTAGGTGCTCTTTTAAAACGCCATAATGTACCACCATGTGCATTTAAAGCTGTTAATAATTGAGATAAAGAGTGGAGCGAGGTCTGATACCGCTCCTGTCGTTTAAGATGCAGGGCTTGATATGAAAACATTAAACATGAAGATTACAGTGGCTTCAAAGAAAGGACATCAGCTGAGATATTTCTGCGGAAAAGTCAGACTATCAATCATTTCTTTAGCCCAGGAGCTGTGTCGCTTTCATCACCTGACATGCCCAAAAATGGTGTATCATATCTCCGGCTGCTTTTGTAATGCCTGTATTCATTTTGTGAGATGGATTTGCCCTTCACTTGCATTACCACTTGAATGGAGCCAGTATAATTATATGGTTGCCTGCCACAGTCACAGGTTGCATTTTAGATACACACTCAAGATAACACCGTTGCAGCACCGGTGCCCTGTGAAATATTCATTTTAGATTTGGAAGAAGTCGCCCACCAAAAAACCCATTGCTTTTGAAGACCGGTGTTAGCAAATGTGTGTGAGCAAAACACTAAACATGACGTTGAAAGATACACAAATACAGCAAGTACATCATTTTTTGTCTTCAGTCTTCTTCAGTTCAGCTCCATTGAATTTTATATACACTTAGTTTGGTCCAGATTGTATTTACATGTCAATTAATAATAAAAGTTTTCAGATACTCCCTGTATTTCATATGAGCAGCGGCCCAAATTTGCTCTATGTCCCCAATATAAATTGAGTTTCATACTGTAATTTCACATGGGAGTGCAAAAGTCATTTTTCTAGCACAATGCTCCATTTTCCCCCCCTATTATCTGTCCTGGAAATTTGCATATTCACATTGGTTATTTCACCTGCCCCATCACACCTCAGTACAAGTCAATGCCATGTTGTGATGTCCTCTGAAACCTAGCAATTGAAGCTGTCCAAACATTTTGCTGATGTGAAAGCCAAAACCACCTCTGCCACAAAGTATGTTCGCTATTATAAAGACAGAGGTAGCCACGACATCATCTTAACCTGAGCTGTCATCGCTTCACTGTACGTTTCGCTCCCTCTTAAAGCATTCTGCAGACATTTTCTCATCCAACCTCTCTGACAAGGTCAAAACAGCCGTCCAGCGCTCTATGCGCCGCACTTAGTTCAACAAATGTCTCCTAAACGCCTGATACCTGCTGTTTGGGGCTCTCTGGAGTTGATTATGGAGACGAGCCCGGGCGCTCTCAGTTCTATTTGTTCTGGGCCACTGCAGCCTGTATGAGTTGAATGGCACCGCAGAACCTCCAGCGAGGTCAACCTCACACCTCTCTGAAGATGATAACACTGTTTCTGTGGGATTTTTTCCTGCCTCAGTGGTCAAGGATTTGGTTGTATCTTTCATATAGCTACCTTAAGACACATACGAAATGTGCCGTCTAATTCCATAGCTAAATTTGGTTGCCTTATTGGGCGTATGGGGGATTGACTAATCAATTTGTAGTAGCTGTGGGGGACATTTATCGATCAAGGCGTTAGACTGAATGTAGTAGAATAGAGTGTGCTATTTTAGAGATTTAGTTTAGCAGCTGAATCTGCATGTTAAGCTGTGCTTAAATGTAACCATACCTTATCAGCTGCTACAATATTTGTATCAATGGTCACGCCAATAAATATATAACGACAATCAATAAATATATACAAAATTCAACTTTTGATTTACTGGCATCCAGAAAGAGTGACACAAAACTGTATTATAGGCTGTGACCTTAGGACTCCTCGAGCTGGTTCCGAATCATAATCAGAATTATTGTTTCTACCATTGTGAGTAACAGTAAGTTACAAAGTTAGAAATTTGCTTTGATTCAAGGTGCAAACAAGTTGTAAGAGTAAAAATTGGTAAAGGCATTCTTAAAAAATATAGTCTCCATAAAATGTCTTAAAAATACTACTAAGTGCACTAAGTACCCACAATAAACATTTAACAGTGCAGTTAAAGTGGCGGTAGCAAAAAGTGGCGGTAGCATAAAGTGACGGTCATAAGGGTAAAACAGTGTTCATGAGTCCAACTGCAGAGGAGAAGAAAGTGTTCTTATGATGGGAGGTTCTAGTCCTCATGGATAAGCCTTCTGGTTGAGGGGAGTGGTTGGAATAGTCCATGTGCAGAGTGAGAGGGATACGACTCTTTCAATACAATTTATTCTTGCAGTTGTTATCAAGAAGGACTTTACTGTTGAATTCCCCAACACAGGTCAGAGAATCAACACTTCAACTAAAAGAAATGCAACAATAAAAACCCATAATGAGCCGATGATCAATGTTCATAAATGTCCATAAACGGTGTTGAATGATGAGTTGTGTGTCCTAGCATGGACAAGTAGGGCTGTTTTTTTATATGTATTTATCATAAGTGATGTATTAATGACATTAGTATGTGTAACTATGGTGTTTTTATCAACCTCATGGCAGCATAAAAATGTAAAAGGGTTGATTTTCTTTAGTCCTTAATCCCACGTACAGCTCAGTGATTGACAGGCGTAAGTCCCGTCTCCTACACCTACACACCTACACACACTATGCACCGGCTAATCTCTGCTAACAAGAAAAATCTACAAGAAATAGGAAATATTTTTGGCTTTTCAATGAGTTTTTTTTGTTGGGAGGTTAACTCTGGAGACTGAGGATGAAGTAGTAGCTGCTGTGAGTTTGTGGAATTTAAAAGAGCTGAAAAGATGTCAGAAGGAGACCATGGAGAGCTGCAGCTTTTTACTGAGCATGGAGCCTACTGTAAGTGCTGTAGTTTCATATAACTCTAACAGCAGAACAAAGAACCCAGTAATGCTCTCTATTCTATTTTTCAGCCTGTTGTACGAATGCACTTTTCCTATTTGTGGCTAAATAGCTCATTATCTAGACTGACAAAGCAGAAGTTAACACATTTTTGATTGTAGACACTAAACTAATGCTTTAACCCAAAACGCCTCACCTAGATTTTACATGACCACTGATACTGGTGATGTAAAAGTTCAACCTACATAAAAGTCCAACGGTAATATGACTAGCCCTTCTTTGAGCTTGGCCGACGTATAGCATAGACAGGTAGGGCTGTTTTTTATATGTATAGCAAAGAGGCAAGGCTGACCAGGTTAAATGTATCATGGAATTCATCATCGATCTGGAAGTTGGGCGTCTCTCCTCCGTAACTGGGGTTTGTTTATCTAGTTTTGTCCTTCGTTTTTGTTCTTTATTATTCTGTGAATGTCTACCATCAGGTGATATTTTGCCCTTTGTGTATCCTGTTTTACAAAATCAAACTTTTTGTTACTTTTTTGGACACTCAAAGGTCCATGTTCAAATGTCGTTACTGTGTGTAGCCACAGCTGCCCTGAGGCACACTGACCGAAGCAAGGCAGAATGGACCAATAGCCTATCCAACCGATTTCAACCAATTATAATCGAAATTACAGGGACCAGACCCAGACGTTACATGCAGGGAAATGATGATTGAGTGTATGGATGGCTGTGGCCAGGCTAGCTCTGCCCTGCTTAGCTTCAGAAGTCGGATCTGGCTTTCACATACAGTTGGCACCACACTGCAGGTGACACATGCTACTGTACATGCTTTTTTAACATTAGACCATAGACAAGTAAGACACATCAAAAATATAAATGCCAAAGACTTTTACTCTCTGGCTTTTAACACCAGTGTGCGTTGTTTTATGTTCATATTTTTGTTATAGTTTTGTGTTTGTGTCACAAAACTTAAATAAAGATCATTGTTTATTATATTTTCATTGATTTTGTTTTATTTTAATTGTTTTTTATGTCCTTTGAATTGTTTTTTATTTTATTTGTATTGATTTTACTGTATTTAATTTTTTTTATTAAAAGCTGGCAGGCTTGTATATTTTAATTTGTTACTTTCATCTGCGCAGCACTTTGGAAACGTGTTTTATAAAATGTACTATCTAAAAAAAGTGGATTGGATGGGATTTATATTATGTTCGATGCACATGTGCACTTTGTTGCTTCGGTCCTAATGGTCCAACTTTACTGACCTTTTCTGTAACGATTCACCCAGTTATAGTTGTAATACCGAAGCCAAACATTTTGATTGCTTCTATCTGGTTCGAAAGTGGAGAATCGTTGCTGTAAAACATTAAATTCACTTTTAATTTGCCTCGGGGTTGAAGAAAATGAGCACTCCAAACTGCCAGCGCGCCCTAGACCTGAATACATTACTTGTAGAAAAGTCTTATTACTGTTTAAAAGAAGCTCACCCCAGGACATGACAACACAATCACTAGTTATTCTACATCCCAATTGTATTTTTACTTCTAAATGTTACTCCACAGGCCCTGTTCAAAAATAGCAAATACCTAAAAGACAAAAACCGGTCTGCTTCTGTGTAAAGAAAGATTACTGCATATCAAGTTGGCCGTGTGTAGTACTTGGAGTGTATGAGTCCTTTGTGATGTCGCAGGAAGACATTTTTCTTGCAGCCAATGGAAGAGAGCGTCAGGTTTACGACTATAGGGAGCACAGACGGTGGCCTTTATTTCCCTGAGAAGACTCATTATTATTGCCCTGTAAATTTATGGCTTGCTACTGGAGAGAACCTACCAGCAGAGTGCCTGTCATTTCTCTCTCTACCTTATGCATTATTGATAAGTCTATGGTCCTATCATCCATCGTGTGCTTTTGTCGTTACTCAAAACGCAGCAAGCAGCCGTGTATCGGAGAAGTGTTGGACCTCTGTTGTTTTCTCGCTTCTTTTGCAACAACCTTTTTTTTTGGAGACGACTTCCAACGAGACGAAACAGAGAGTGATAAAACTGACAGATTCGGCAAGGCTGTGTGCAAAGATAAATAAAGACATATCCCAAAATATCCACAGGCGTCAAAGTGTGGTTTTGGTCCAAGCCATTCAGTCGTATAGTTCTTTGTACTGCGTGTTGGCCCTTAAACATGATCTTGAGGATGTGTAATTTGGAGTTTTATGTTGTAGTTTGTGAAATAATTTATTAGTTTGAATAGTATTTTTCAACTAGTGTGGCGTGGGACAGGGCTGGACTGGGACAAAAAAACGGCCCGGGCATTTTTTCCTTCTTACCGGCCCAGGCATGTTTTTGTCACGTTTTTTACAGTTTGTTTATACCAGGGATCGGCAACTCAAAAGGTTCAAAGAACCATATTTGACAAAAAATACTAAAAACATCTGTCTGGAGCCGCAAAAAAATTACAGCCTTGTATAAAGCTTATATGAAGGTTACACAATGTAGCTACATTAGCTACAGTAGCCTAATATCTAAATGACCAAGTAAAGGCTACAAATACATGATTAGCATTCATGATTGTCAAATGTGTGTTTTCACTGCAGCGTGTCCTGGAGAGAATGACGCACCACGTGATGACTCTGCTTTAACTTTGACTTCAATTTTTTTGCCTCCATGCAACTGTAGAAATACAGTAAATAAATCTGCTTTTTGGCTCAAAGGTCACACACCTGCACTGTCCACTCATATCGATTACGTCACAGGCTGAAGTTTGCTGGAGCTGAATGTCCTTAATGGCCTTTTCTTTCACAGTCTTTGCGGAGGTTTTTGAAGTCTGAAAAAGGTGCTCCGGATTTTGTATGAAAGAATCCTTCACGTAATCCCTGTGAACGGTATTTAGTGCTTCATTGTTCCTCGTGTTGCAACAAAACTTCCTATTACATCGCAAACATGAAGCAGTCCTTCCTCATTGACTGAAAGCAAATGTTCAGTCTTGTTCTTAGTCCAGTCTTATTATCGACTCGTTCTCTTTTTATCTTTGGGATCCGTGCGCACACGCCGGTTTGTTTACAGCAGCGGCCGTCTGCCGCGGGGCCGCGCCACAGGATATGACTCACTACGTTGACAGAAATGTTGAAATTGAATATTACTTATACACATTTTTACAGCATTGAAATACGTTAGGAATGTTTTTCCTCCTACAGAAACCACATTCAAACTAGGAATAAAATATAGCCCTCCCACTCCATTTTCAGACATTTTTGAAAAGGCTCCAGGAGCCACTGGAGGAGCACTAAAGGTTGCCGAACCCTAGTTTATTTTAGTATGTGGAAGTATACTGTAGAGGATCAGGATGTCTACAGTTTCAACAAAAAAATAAAGTGCAATAGTCTACATTAAACAGAGTAATAAACATGTCTCAGAGTGAGGGAGGTGGACACAGACAACACTGTTGTTTGTTACAGGGATGAGAATTGGTCAAAAAAGTCTGAAATGCATAATGTCAGCCATTGGCTGGCTCTAAATCTGTTTAATTTTTTCACAACATTTTACTTTTGGGCTCAAACATGAACTTTTAATGCAATGGAAAATTTAGGCACCCGAGCTTTAATTTAGTCGCACTTCGAGAGGAGAGGGGAGACGCGGACTGTTTCCTGCAGCGGTGTATTTATTGGGTGCACAAATTACGCAAAGACACGCATGGTCCTGTGCACGTTTATGGTCTTGGGTACATGGTCACGTTGCGGCTACGCGCTCACCGTGTTGTGTTGTGAGCGGCTCCCGGTGAGCGGTTCCCGCGTCCAGCTCAGAGCCGCTGGATGCCGGAACACTGCGGCCGCTGAGGTGGTAGAATCCCGTTCCAGTACATATACAGCAGGTCCCCCGCGAACACGCGCGCCCCCTCGAACAGTTCTCAACGGATTTACACTTTTCACAAAAATCTTTTTTGTATGAGGCAAACAGACCGGCCCAAATATGGGCATCGGCCTTTCTGGCATTGCCCGGTACGCCCGATGGCCAGTCCAGCCCTGGCGTGGGACATTAGTGTGGCGTGGGACATTAGTGTGGCGTGGGACATTAGTGTGGCGTGGGACATTAGTGCATTAGTGTGGCGTGGGACATTAGTGTGGCGTGGGACATTAGTGCATTAGTGTGGCGTGGGACATTAGTGTGGCGTGGGACATTAGTGTGGCGTGGGACATTAGTGTGGCGTGGGACATTAGTGTGGCGTGGCGTGGGACATTAGTGTGGCGTGGGACATTAGTGTGGCGTGGGACATTAGTGTGGCGTGGCGTGGGACATTAGTGTGGCGTGGGACATTAGTGTGGCGTGGGACATTAGTGTGGCGTGGGACATTAGTGTGGCGTGGGACATTAGTGTGGCGTGGGACATTAGTGTGGCGTGGCGTGGGACATTAGTGTGGCGTGGGACATTAGTGTGGCGTGGGACATTAGTGTGGCGTGGGACATTAGTGTTGCGTGGGACATTAGTGTGGCGTGGGACATTAGTGTGGCGTGGGACATTAGTGTGGCGTGGGACATTAGTGTGGTGCGGCGTGGGACATTAGTGCGGCGTGGGACATTAGTGTGGCGTGGGACATTAGTGTGGCGTGGGACATTAGTGTGGCGTGGGACATTAGTGTGGCATGGGACATTAGTGTGGCGTGGGACATTAGTGTGGCGTGGGACATTACTGTGGCGTGGGACATTAGTGCGGCGTGGGATATTAGTGTGGCGTGGGACATTAGTGTGGCGTGGGACATTAGTGTGGTGCGGCGTGGGACATTAGTGCGGCGTGGGACATTAGTGTGGCGTGGGACATTAGTGTGGCGTGGGACATTAGTGTGGCGTGGGAGATTAGTGTGGCGTGGGACATTAGTGTGGTGCGGCGTGGGACATTAGTGCGGCGTGGGACATTAGTGTGGCGTGGGACATTAGTGCGGCGTGGGACATTAGTGTGGCGTGGGACATTAGTGTGGCGTGGGACATTAGTGTGGCGTGGGAGATTAGTGTGGTGTGGGACATTAGTGCGGCGTGGGACATTAGTGTGGTGTGGGAGATTAGTGTGGCATGGGACATTAGTGTGGCGTGGGACATTAGTGTGGCGTGGGAAATTAGTGTGGCATGGGACATTAGTGTGGCGTGGGACATTAGTGCGGCGTGGGACATTAGTGCGGCGTGGGATATTAGTGTGGCGTGGGATATTAGTGTGGCATGGGACATTAGTGCGGCGTGGGATATTAGTGTGGCATGGGAGATTAGTGTGGCATGGGACATTAGTGTGGTGTGGGAGATTAGTGTGGCATGGGACATTAGTGTGGCGTGGGACATTAGTGTGGCGTGGGACATTAGTGCGGCGTGGGACATTAGTGCGGCGTGGGATATTAGTGTGGCGTGGGACATTAGTGTGGCGTGGGACATTAGTGCGGCGTGGGACATTAGTGTGGCGTGGGACATTAGTGTGGCGTGGGACATTAGTGTGGCGTGGGATATTAGTGTGGCATGGGAGATTAGTGTGGCATGGGACATTAGTGTGGCGTGGGACATTAGTGTGGTGTGGGACATTAGTGTGGCATGGGAGATTAGTGTGGCGTGGGACATTAGTGTGGTGTGGGAGATTAGTGTGGCATGGGACATTAGTGTGGCGTGGGACATTAGTGTGGCATGGGAGATTAGTGTGGCATGGGACATTAGTGTGGTGTGGGAGATTAGTGTGGCATGGGACATTAGTGTGGCGTGGGACATTAGTGTGGCGTGGGACATTAGTGTGGCGTGGGACATTAGTGTGGCATGGGAGATTAGTGTGGTGTGGGAGATTAGTGTGGTGTGGGACATTAGTGTGGCGTGGGACATTAGTGTGGCGTGGGACATTAGTGCGGCGTGGGACATTAGTGTGGTGTGGGAGATTAGTGTGGCATGGGACATTAGTGTGGCGTGGGACATTAGTGTGGCGTGGGACATTAGTGTGGCATGGGACATTAGTGTGGCGTGGGACATTAGTGCGGCGTGGGACATTAGTGCGGCGTGGGACATTAGTGTGGCATGGGACATTAGTGTGGTGTGGGAGATTAGTGTGGCATGGGACATTAGTGTGGCATGGGAGATTAGTGTGGCATGGGACATTAGTGTGGTGTGGGAGATTAGTGTGGCATGGGACATTAGTGTGGCGTGGGACATTAGTGTGGCGTGGGACATTAGTGTGGCATGGGACATTAGTGTGGCGTGGGACATTAGTGCGGCGTGGGACATTAGTGCGGCGTGGGATATTAGTGTGGCATGGGACATTAGTGCGGCGTGGGACATTAGTGTGGCATGGGACATTAGTGTGGCGTGGGACATTAGTGTGGTGTGGGAGATTAGTGTGGCGTGGGACATTAGTGCGGCGTGGGACATTAGTGTGGCGTGGGACATTAGTGTGGCGTGGGACATTAGTGTGGCGTGGGACATTAGTGTGGCGTGGGACATTAGTGTGCCGTGGGACATTAGTGTGGCGTGGGACATTAGTGTGGCGTGGGACATTAGTGTGGCGTGGGACATTACTGTGGCGTGGGACATTAGTGTGGCATGGGACATTAGTGTGGCGTGGGACATTAGTGTGGCGTGGCGTGGGACATTACTGTGGCGTGGGACATTACTGTGGCGTGGGACATTAGTGTGGCGTGGGACATTAGTGCGGCGTGGGACATTAGTGTGGCGTGGGAGATTAGTGTGGCATGGGACATTAGTGTGGCATGGGACATTAGTGTGGCATGGGAGATTAGTGTGGCATGGGACATTAGTGTGGCGTGGGACATTAGTGTGGCATGGGAGATTAGTGTGGCATGGGAGATTAGTGTGGCATGGGAGATTAGTGTGGCATGGGACATTAGTGTGGCGTGGGACATTAGTGTGGCGTGGGACATTAGTGTGGCGTGGGACATTAGTGTGGCGTGGGACATTAGTGTGGCGTGGGACATTACTGTGGCGTGGGACATTAGTGTGGCATGGGAGATTAGTGTGGCATGGGAGATTAGTGTGGCATGGGAGATTAGTGTGGCATGGGACATTAGTGTGGCGTGGGACATTAGTGTGGCGTGGGACATTAGTGTGGCGTGGGACATTAGTGTGGCGTGGGACATTAGTGTGGCGTGGGACATTAGTGTGGCGTGGGAGATTAGTGTGGCATGGGACATTAGTGCGGCGTGGGACATTAGTGTGGCATGGGAGATTAGTGTGGCATGGGACATTACTGTGGCGTGGGACATTAGTGTGGCGTGGGACATTAGTGCGGCGTGGGACATTAGTGTGGCGTGGGAGATTAGTGTGGCGTGGGAGATTAGTGTGGCATGGGACATTAGTGTGGCATGGGACATTAGTGTGGCATGGGAGATTAGTGTGGCATGGGACATTAGTGTGGCGTGGGACATTAGTGTGGCATGGGAGATTAGTGTGGCATGGGAGATTAGTGTGGCATGGGACATTAGTGTGGCGTGGGACATTAGTGTGGCATGGGAGATTAGTGTGGCATGGGACATTAGTGTGGCGTGGGACATTAGTGTGGCATGGGAGATTAGTGTGGCATGGGAGATTAGTGTGGCGTGGGACATTAGTGTGGCGAGGGACATTAGTGCGGCGTGGGACATTAGTGTGGCGTGGGACATTAGTGTGGCATGGGAGATTAGTGTGGCGTGGGACATTAGTGTGGCGAGGGACATTAGTGCGGCGTGGGACATTAGTGTGGCGTGGGACATTAGTGTGGCGTGGGACATTAGTGTGGCGTGGGACATTAGTGTGGCGTGGGACATTAGTGTGGCGTGGGACATTAGTGTGGCGTGAGATGCTGTTTGGAAAGCATCCAATATCCAAAATATAATTAGAGAATAAGTCAGAGGCACTCGGATGCAGGGAATTCTGGTTTTAATTCGCCAACACGTTTCAACGTGCTGTTTTCATCAAGGCTCGTAAAGAATGCCCAGGTCATGCACCAGGTCATGCACCTGGGCATTCTTTACGAGCCTTGACCCCCTTTTTAACAGAGGAAGTCATGTGACTCGTAAGTCATGTGACAAACATGAAAAAATAAAATAAAAATAGATGCTTGTTAGTACAATAGTGCAATGATATACAATCCTACAAAGACATAAACTGACCGTAAACCAAGCCCAAAATATAATATTGGTCAAAATAATGTGGGTTAGAAATACTTTTTGTGCTTGTGATTTACTACATAACATACTTTGATCAGAATGACTTTGTTTTGTTAATAAACGCGACAGACTTTCATCCTTGTTTCAGTTTCAGCTGGTGGTGTGTCATGTGATTGTTTTCAATGTAAAACGTGTGCCCCAGCTATATAAAAAAAAAAAGTTGAGGAACACTGCATTAAAATCCACACATGTAACACATGTGACACACATGTAAAATCCACCTTTAGATTTCACACATCTGCCAAATAAAAAAATAAGCATGAAAATCAAAGAAAATGACTGTAGCTGTGAATGAAAAATATATAAATAAGTAGTAAGGGCTGGTGAAAAATTAAACCAATAAGAAAAATCTATTAAATTGGTATCTAAAAAAATAAAAAGACAACAGAGGAGACAGCTCAAGTGGCGTTAAAAGCCCGAGGATAAAAGTAGGTCTTAAGACGAGACTTAAAATAGTCCTCAGAAGGTGCAGTTGGAACGGATGAGGGAAAGATCTTATGTGAAGAAAAACCAGCGGTGGGTAATGTCTGTCCAATCACAGTGACAAGGAGGCAGGCAGACATCTGAGCATTCTGGCCTGACGCCTGTAGCTCTGACTGTGGGACGCAAACCTGTCAATGTCAAGGGGAGTGTAATTTTCGAAACCAGATTTGTCGCCACGGTGGCTTTTGTACGCGCATCCGCCATTCTGTGCCGGGCATATCAGGCAGTGGCTGATGTGGCTCTCGACAACAGCAGTGGGCCCCTGGAGTCTGCTGTGTGATTTGCGGCACTTGGCACATGCGCAGAGGGAGAAATAAGCACTTTCTTTCACTTTTCCTGCACGAGAGGAACATCTGTGGTGGTATAGAATATTAGGCTCTTCTTTAATACACAGACTATAGGTGAAACAGTGACATCTTGTGGTAAGAGTGGGAAATTACATCATGCTATTTGAGTAAACGTGAACATGGTGTGGTGTAATAGCACAGTATCGAGTAAACAAATATGGATTTTCATGTCACTTTTAGAGTTGTCTTTTCAGAAATATCTTAATGGAAAGTTTCATTGTTTGAACCTATTAATTTTGCAAGAAGTAGTGACATCAATGCACCTGTAACTCTGCTATTGAAAGCTGTACATTATAAAGTGTAGAGATTCCTAAAACTTATTAGAAGGCTTTTATTAAGGCATGAAACAGCTCTGTCCACAGTGCCATACTGCAAGGATTTGTCATAGTTTGAGAAAGGAGTATTTTGCATTACTCAGAAGGCAAGGGGGACAGAAGGGGAGGATTTGTGCTAGAAGTCACTCATATTAGCTTGCATTGAGCTGAAATAACTTTTTGATGAGGAAACATTGTGGTATCTGTAAGAAAAAAAATTATGTGGCATGATATGTGTTCTTTAAAAAGTGTTTCTAACAATTGATCATAGCTTAAATTCTGAAAATGCATGTGATTAAACTCTGGTGTTTGCTGAGATTTGAATGCAGTGAAATAGAATGTAGCGATGTGTGATGTTGTTAGGATTGTTATCCGAGTCTGGCAATCAAAGAGAATGTCTGAAAATAAACATAACATTTACAGGTATTGTATCTGAAATGTAAAAACGTGCACTCGGAGAGAAAATACACATACAGCGCTGAAATTTGAATCAGATCTTCTTACCATCGCATCCCATCTGCACAACCATTTCAGATGAATCCGTACTGTTGTTTTTTCTCTTTCCTGCCTTTAGATAAACAACAACAAACACACATGCACACACACACACACGCGTACACACACACACACACACACACACACACAGACAATCATATACCCCTTGGCAAGTAACAATTTCAAATACAAAAACACAAGCACACAAAGACAGAGACAATCATAGTACCACTTGACAAGTAATAATTGACTTTATTCTATCGCTAATACAACATTTACCAGCTGTTTTCTTGTGTGAAGCAGATGAGGAATTGTCCAAACAAATATTTACTTTTGTCTTTTCAGCTATCGCGATGTAATAAAGTTTTTTGTGATGGTACGGTTGCCCCGCTCATTTCCAAAACATTTTACCAGCTCCAGACCATGGATGTATTATACCATGACCTGTTGGCACCAGGAGCATGTCAGACCTCTGAAGCCAAGCAGGGCAGGGTCTGGGTAAAACTGTGATGGGGGACCTATAGCTGCTTCACCTACACTCGGATGGCACATATTCTGGTTGCCTGACTTCTGTAGTTTATCCCCACTTTAACCACTGTGTGAATAAATAATGCTTTTTGTGACTTGGACTGTTCAAAAGAGTACTATATAAAAGAAATGTATTAATATCATTACTATTATTATCATGATCTATTGTGTTTTTTTAATGTATTCTGAATGCATTTGCCTTCTCCCACAATTCAATAGATTATTGGCTCATTGTCCGCTTACAAGAATTCACCCGCACTCTTCCCCTTTCTGAATAAGTGTGGTGTGATTTAAAATGTTGTTGAAGTATGCTTTTAAGGCGCTCTGTCTTGTTTGCAAAGCACTTTGAATACGAGGCTGTATAAATAAACTTACCTTACCTGTCGCAGTACTTTTCTCTTCAATGGGAATATTTTTCATGGTCATATTTCTTTCAAGACATGTACCTTTTCAAAACCAAGAGCTCTGATTAAGTTTTGAACTCGGCTGCAATTACCACATCTGTCCATTCCTGCTGATATAAAGAGTGTCTGTTAGTGACACACACACCGAGGACTCGTCGGGGCATAATTAGATCATCATTTTGTTACGGCTTAATAAGAAGTGGTGTCTCGCTACAAAGCCCAGGCCTTCTTTGACTTTGTCCTTCACCCGGCCATGAACGGGCCGCTGTTCAAAGAGAGGAAAGAAGACGCTGCATCAGAGACGCACACACAGCCTCTTTCATTTGCCTTCATCAAACGTGTTGGAAAAACTGCCATTGCTTCAATTTCACCTGCCAGATACTCGCATTCGTGTTTGACTGGCGTCGTGGGGACTTGAGCGTATTCAGATGACCACATAAGAACTTTTTATGGAGGTAAGTTTGGGTTTGTGGAATCAATGACTTGTATAAATGTTTAAAAGGGGCACATCATGTACGTAGAGCAGCGTTTGTTTTTGTTCTGGAGGATTGTGTTGCACAGGTTCTGACGTTTGACGTGCTTTTTTTGGTGTTCATTAAAAATCCTGTAATGGGTCAAACATTCACTGATATCAAACAGCTTCTTTTCTGGTGAGCGTAAAAGCTTTTTGAAGATGGCGACAGAATGATGACACATGCACAGTGGAAACACCTGAGACAGAGGAGATGAATGATGGATTTATTACCACTGCTTGTTGTGAAGTGGTCTTTGCTTTTCTTGAAACGTTGCTTAGTTTGATTTAAAACTTGTACCTTATTCAATAATGGAACATTTTAGATTTTTAAAAACTGTTATGTTTACAGTGAGAAGACTCACCTCACCAGATATAAATTGGTTGAGTCACATTCTTGTTTATAATTTGTTATTCTTGTATTATGAAGGTAATGTCCAAATAATGAGATTTGCTTTTTATTTACCTGACTGATGTCTGGGGTCAAATGTACAGTTTTACTTAAATCATTACTAGTTTTTTAGCTTCAATGTTAATAATATAATGAAAGACATAGAAGCAAATAGCAATATTACCCTCTCATCATTCTGCAAGTTAATAGTAAGAAATTAAAATCCTACTATAGGGGCCTCTAAGGATGTTTTAAATGCTGGGTTTAGAATAACCCAAACAAAAAGCATGCAACAGTTTTGTAAGACAGTTCAATCTGGAGAGTCAACAGGAGACATTATGCATTAAAACGATTTATTGATTGCGAGTATTATTTGTAGTTTATTTGTTTGGCGCACAGGCCCCGGCTGAGACTCTGAAATACTGCGATGTGTGACACACAAAGGTATACTGTATTTACCAAGGGTTTGTGTGTGTGCAAAAGTGAACTACTGTATGGCCTCTTTTATCAATCCAGGGGCCGTATTCCTAAAGATTCTTAGTGCTAAAAGTTGCTCCTAGCGGCCAAATTCTAAGAATTTTCTTAGAATCTTGACCAACTCTTAGAATTTCCCCTAAAAGTGAGGAGTAGCTTCTAGTTAAGAAAAAAGCTATTCCTAAAGAATCCTAGCTCTTAAGAGTGCTCCTAAGGTGAGATCCCTTAAGAGTTGAGAAGAGGACTTTTAGCAACTTAAAAGTTCCCTAAGAGGACAAAATGGTGGACGGTAGAGGCAGGAGAAATATTCTATACACTGGATGACAGTGAATCAGTAAAACGCTGCAGATTGGATCCTGCAGGAATCATGTTTAAAAGTCAATCATGTACAAATATACAGTTTTGTTTTATTAACAGCAATCCAGTTCAAAAAGGAGTGTGAAGAAGTTAATACTTTTAAACTCCCACCCTCTATTTATCATTCTAAATTAACTTAAATAGTGTGGTTGCTACAGCTTAGTTTATTCCATGGTGTATTTACAGTTATGCAACAGTGACATTCACAATAACATGGACTTGATTTGTGTATGTATAAAATGCTTATATTAATATTTTTTCCTTAATTCCTTTCACGTCTTTCAGTATCACAGCCTGTACTAATCCTAATGTTATCATAATCATCTATATATAATCATATATATATATATATATAAGTGCTCATGTTATATACGTTTGTTAAATATGTGTGATAAATTGGTGCTGAGCAAGCTCTAATGATGTGGTGTAAAAGTCAAACTTACAACAGTAAGTTAGACAATATTAGTAAATACATCTGACTTTCTACCTTTTCTGATTATTTACAATGACACAGTATTCCTAAGATTAGATTCTATGATTGAGTTTGTCCATTAGAGGATCCTTATTTTGCCCATTATCAAAAATATGGTTTCTCTAACTTTTAGGATCAACCAATCACAGCGTCTGAAATGATGACTCATACCTAGCAACGGGGTCGGCCACGCCTCCTCACTAAGATAAGAGTTGTTGTCAATTCCTTGCTCAGAGTTCTCTAAGAGTGTTCTGGAATAACTTTTAAGCTAAGACTCCTAGCTAGGAGTTTTTAGGTTAAGATAGGAGCTCTCTGAGAGGACTCTTAGAATCTTTAGGAATACGGCCCCAGGTGTTCAACTGCAAAGTAAAACAGTATGTGCCATTTTATTGGTTGAAAAATGAGTTTTCTCCAATTTTAAAGTGGGATAAAATAAACCTTCATATGTCCCTCATTGGGGAAATTCAATGTCATTGTTGCGCACATCACTTGCACTTTTACACTTGTTATATGACGCTGAAAACCAATAATATTCCACACACTATTTCATTTGTCACTTGCCGTTTAGCGCCTGGAGTGAGAAATATTCCCTCGTAGTGCCATGAATAGTGCAAGCAATTTTTGTTTAGCTTCAAATATTGTAAATCACGAGGTTATAAGATGAAAAAAGCGTGTTATTTTGCTGTGGATCACGCAGTCTCACAATGAGTGTCAGTAATGGCTCGACTAGACAAATGAAGGTGTTTGTGAGTTTAGCGGAGGATGCGGCACAGGTTCATCAGGGCTGTTTTATTTGGCACCTCCCACACACGGGCACCTCTTCTCTCTGTCACTTCCTGTCACTGCTCCTCTCCCTGGAGCACCCTTCAGACCAGCAGTAATCATCCTATTTAGACAGTCGAGAGCCGGACTACTGCTGCTGCTGTTGTGTAACTATGGCTGAAATTGCAATCATGCTCTCCAACGCGCTGTGATGAGGTTACTTCAACTCTCTGTTTGTTTAAGTACTGCCATGAAGAGACACTGCACTTAATGACGAAACCATGTTCATTTTACAGCACAAAAGGCCTGATTTCCACTTTCGGAGTGGCTACCTTGTTGACGACGAAAGGTCCGTGTATAGGGATGCATGGGACAGTCAAGTAATTCTTCAGCAATTATATATTTTAAATAATTGCTCTGCTTGGCATTAGTACGAGCAGTAAGATTTGCTCGAGGAGAATAGTTAAAACAATAACAAGGGGCTTCAAGGATTTTAACTCATTTTGACCAATCAGGAAGCTGCGGGGGTTAGCCTGGGCTCAGTGTGTAGACCAGCTTTTTGGAACAAACTTGCAAAAGAATCCAATCACTCAATCAAGCGTTTAATTTCAGAACATGAACAGCCTAAATGCACTGCACAAAATATTAAAAATATATTATACACATGTTCAGAAAAGGGCTTATAAACTCTCACTCATGTTCAAACCGGTTTCAATATTCAAAAGCTGCCAAAGAAGTACTGATTATATATGTGGAGTAAAGTACCATACCATCTATAGTTTGATATGAGACAAAACGCAAATACAAATGGCGGCACGGGGGCGCAGTGGTTAGTGCTTGTGCTTCACAGTAAGAAGGTCTTGGGTTCCACCGGCCTTTGTGTGTGGAGTTGATGATTACATTCCAGGCTTGTTCTATGTGTTGCATCGTCTCCCTGCATTTTCATAATTTTTTTCTATTGCTGCCACAGTTCTGGATCTTGATTTGGAGATGGATCCTTAGTATACATCCAGACACGGCTCCTGACAAGTCGCCCCCAATGCTCCAAATCCTCTCCACAGTGACAATAGTGTAAGTAAGAGTTTAAATTGTTGGTATATATTTTACCAGTATATTCATAGATTAATATAATCAGCAAACATTATTTGAATTCCACACATGTTATCACTGTGGGTGTTGATATAAAAGGTGTAAAGGTTTCATTAGGCTGCTAACAAGTGTTGAATTATATTATGCAGATCAAAACTTTCTACTGTTCATTTTAGCTTTTAAACATTTCATTTCTCAATAGAATTTAATATGATTCCCGCAACACCAGAAGTTCCAACTCAACAATTTCATACATACATTTTTACAGCACATTTAGCTTTAATGGGCTTTTGGGGGTGATTAAAATTGATTATCTTTGCTCCTAAAAAAAATACATTGATGGTAATTTTCTTCATGTTTTATGTCATGGTCTGAACTATGTATTTACCCTTTATTCCTGATATTCAAATCAACCATTACAATATACTAATATCTTGTGCTCACACACAGGGAGAACATGCAAACCACACAGACCTGTTTTGGAAATGATAATAGTCACAAAACAAACTATGGCGTGTTTGTTTTGAGCTGCTCTTTCAGGTAAGCAGTTCTTTATTAGCACTTTCCAAAAACAACTGAGCTGTGCACCATCCAAATCATTAATATAGATGTGCTTTTTCCTGCATGAAGGGAAAGAGGAAATCATTTTAATTGTTATGTCAGGCTCCAGTGGAGAAAACGTGCAACATACAATTACCTGATAACTCTCTGCACTTTCGTTGATGAGAAAATTGCAGAAGTTCTTAACCAAAACAGAGTGTAGTTGTGTTTCTTAGTTAACATTGGTTCTACGTCACCTTTCTTGACACTCATTGGCTTCATATACTATTGTAGCCACAGCTGCCCTGGAGTAGAGTGACTGAAGTGAGACTGCTGCCATACCAGGTACAACAACCTTGAATTCCCAGCAGTCTCCCATCACAGCACTGGCCAGGCCCTGACCTGCTTAGCTGCTGAGATCTGACAATATCAGACTTTCACATGCAGCTGGCCACAAAATATACTAATGTTTTTACTCATAATACTTCATATCATTTCAGAAGGGCTTCAAAAGGGCTTTTTGATGGGTTTCAACTTTGTGAATATTTGTGATATATTACAGACTAAACAGGAAAACCACTGATCATCAATGTCTGATCTCTGCAAAAGATACAATCATACAATGGACTGGGAAATTACTAAAATAGTGGGAACGGAGGAACATAAATACAAAAGATGGATATGAGAGGCGCATGGGTCTAGTCATGATTCATGAAGTAATAAGCCTTACTTTTCTCTCCCAACGCTGAATGCGACCACTCACATCCCTGATTTATGTTCATCAAAGTCAAAATTAAACAAATGCCTAAATGCAAAACCACA